CTAAACCAATCTTTCATTCCTGAGATAACCCCCCCTTCAGTCATGATGTATTATTATTTTACAAGATTGTTGAGTTTTTTGGGTTTTTTTGAGATGGAGTCTCGCTCTGTGGCCCAGGCTGGAGGGCAGTGGCATGATGTTGCCTCACTGTAACCTCCGCCTCCGAGGTTCAATCGATTCTCCTGCCTCAGCCTCCTGAGTAGCTGGGATTACAGGTGTCCTCCACCACACCTGGCTAATTTTTTGTATTTTTAGTAGAGACTGGGTTTCACCATGTTGACCAGGCTGGTCCAGAACCCCTGACCTCAAGTGATCCATCCGCCTCAGCCTCCCAAAGTGCTGGGATTACAGGCGTGAGCCACTGTGCCCGGCCTCTTGAGTTCTATTTGCTAAAATTTTGCTTAAAAGTTTTTTTTTTTTTTTTTTTGAGATGGAGTCTCGCTCTTCACTCAGGCTGGAGTGCAGTGGCGCGATCTTGGCTCTCTGCAACCTCTGCCTCCAGGTTCAAGTGATTCTCCTGCCTCAGCCGCCCAAATAACTGGGATTATAGGCACATGCCACTGTGCCCAGATAATTTTTTTAATTTTTAGTAGAGATGGGGTTTCAGCATGTTAGCCAGCCTGGTCTCGAACTCCTGACCTCAAGTGTTCCGCCCACCTCAGCCTCCCAAAGTGCTGGGATTACAGGCATGAGCCTCCTATCTAGTCTGGGTTTCTGGCTGTTCCCGGGAGGAGGGTGATGGGTCTCTGTGACTTCATGCTGGCTGCAGGAAGGCCCTGGCATCCAGGTGGAGGAATGACTCTCAGCTTCTCTCATTTGTCACTCTCTTCATTCGCTCCATTTGAAAAATGAGATAAAATATGTCACCATGCTCAAGTCATCTTAGCTCAGGGGCTTTCCCCCAGGCTGAGGCCCTTGTTGTGAGAGAAAGTTGCTCAGGGCTGAATTTCAGACAGCAAAGAGCAAAAGTAACTGGAAATTTTGAAACGGCAGGGCCTGGAGGCTCTCAGGGTAGCCTCTACTTCAGGCAGGAAGGTGAGCAAACCACGCTCCATGGCAGCAGGTTTAAAAGCATCGCCGGAATTGTGCTGACTGGCACATCCATTGTGAGCGGATGTGTTTTCCTTTTGCAATAATTTTGGCTACATTAAATTCATTTTGTTAACATCGTCATCACCGCCTTTTCAGTTTTAGTCGGAATTGATTGTGAACAAAGTGCCATGATTTTGACTATTCAGGCGAGCAACTGCATCGAGCCAGCGCGCAACCGGTTTCGTGACAAGCTTGGTGTCCTCTTCGCAACATCTGCAGGAGCAGGCGTTGGGGCCAGCCGTCAGGGAAGGGGACTACCCAGTACCACTCAGAATTCAGCTTGAGCCAGGGTACTGTTGAGTTTTGGGGTGTGTTTGCAGACATTTCCAGGCAGTCTGAGCCTGTGAAGAGCTAGGAAGGAGTGTGTTGATGGTGCCGTTCTGGCCGGAGCAGTGCAACAGCAACTGCGCGCGTCCTCTCCTGCCGTCGGGAGGCAAGCCTCTTCACGTTTAAAACCCCATTTGTTCCAGAGCCTCCTTTCACTGGGGGAGGTGTGGTGGACAGCTTTGGGATTGGGCCAGGCCCGAGGGCACTGGGGGAGTGGGGCATTAGGGGCCATGTGGTCAGCGCTGCGCTCTGCTCTCCTCGGAAGCTGGAAAGGCTGGTTGTGGGGACGGGGCAGCGGTGGGGGCGATGTGCACTCGGCAGTGCAGGGATGTAGCGGCCTTAGGGCTTCGGGAAACTCAGCCGGGGCGTCCTGAGGTGTGTGAGGCTGATGTGTGGGCTTTCTGCTTCCAGACTGTTCAGGACACAGGTCCATGGTCATGCTGTCTGTAGGGTCTCCAAATGAGCCAGAGTGCCTTGTGTTCCCTGTGAAACTTGTTTGAAAGTCACACTTTGGTTCCAGGTCACAGCTTGAACCCGAGGCCACCTCCAGTGGGAGGCTGGAGAGGTCCTGCGTGGTGGTCGTGGCTGGGCTGCCACCACCCCTCTTAGAACCAGGTTCCCACCAGCCAGAGCATTCCCGACAGCACTGCCTGGAGCTGGTGCCCACCCCCGTGGTCAGATGCTTGGCACCCATGCCCGGGCTTGCCTGTCTCACTGTCGGCCCTGGACCAGGTGCCCCTGGGTTGTCGGCAGGGCCCTGGCTCTGTAAGCCTGCTGCTGCTGCTGTCACCTGTCCCTGGGGCTGGGTGTTGCCTCCCTGCTGCTCCCAGTGTGCCTCCTCACCCCTCCCCAAGCAACTCTTGGGGCTGCTGGAGCAGCCGTCTCAGTGGGCTCAGGGCTCCAGGCTCTGGGTAGGGTTTGGGTGGCTGAACCTCACACCCTTGGCTGGATGTGGGATCCTTGTGCTCTTCGGCCTGGGGCCCAGGTGCTTCCTGCGGGCTCTACCCTGTGTGCCAGTCGTTAAGGGGGCTCTGCTCTTCATCGGGAGCCAGGTGCCCTGGGGCTCATAAGCCACCTGGGAGTGTGTCTGGGTGCCTGGGGAGGAGCCGTCACCACAGGACAGCCATGGCCACATTTGCTGGTCCTGGGACGAGGTGAATTTTCTTGGCTGGCTTGACAGGTTCCCCTTTTCCCTACCGTGGCGGGGGTTTCACCCAATTTTCAGCTTTGACGGAGGGATGAGGCTTGGATTTTTCCTCTGGCCTGGGAGGGCTGCAGAGCAGTGCACCCGGGGACCGTGGCTCAGCTGAGGGAGAAGCCATGACAGGAGTGGGTGCGGGGCCTGGTTGGGACAGCTACTGTGCCTTCTGGCCCCACCCGGGGAGCCCTAGCTGCTGTGCTGCTGTATTCTGATCCCTCCTTCTCCTCTTCCTCCTCTTCTTCCCCCTTTCCTTTCCTTCCCTCCTCCTTTCCTTCTCTCCCTCTTTGCTTCTTTCTTTCTGCAAGGTCTGGCCCGGCTCCTCTGCTGCCCAGGCTGGAGTGCAGGGCACAGTCTTGCAGCCTCAGCCTTGTTGGTTCCTGTGATCCTCCCACCTCAGCCTCATGAGTAGCCGAGACTACAGGCACGCACCACTGCGTCTGGCTTTTTGTATTTTTGGGGTAGAGATGGGGTCTCATCATGTTGTCCAGGCTGGTCTAGAACCCTGGGCTCAAGCGATCCTCCTGCTTCAGCCCCCCCCAAAGTGTTGGGATGACAGGTGTGAGCCACTGCACCCGGCTGTTTGAATCTTGATGTAACCTCAGCCCCGGAAAGGAGGCGCCTCTGGCCATGCCCGGGGAGAGCCAGCAGGGTGGCTCTGGGGCCGGTAAGACAGAGACAGTGGGTTTTGCAGTGATGTGAGCATTGACTTGAAAGTGACCACACTGTGGGACCCACACAGTGTCACCAGTAGGCCAAGTGGACACTGCAGGATGCGCTCCGCTGTCAGGGGTGTCCGTCCTCGGCGGTCTTTGGGCTTTCCTGAAGCAAGGCCATTTTGTAGGCTGGGTCTGTCCCTACTCCAGGCTCACACTAGTGGCACCTGGTTCTCGGGGTGATGAGGAGCTTTGCTGCCCTAGAGATTTGTTTTGTGGGCAGAAGCCAACTTTGGAATTGGCCTCATGGCTGATCTTGGACACGTTTCTCCTTCCTTCCCTGTTGGTTGCTGTTAAGCCGGCCTTGGGCACCAGGGACAGTGGGGACACGGCTGTGCACTGGGACCAGGGCTGGCGGGAAGCTGCTTCAGGGCTCTGGACCAGAGCGGTGTGGTTCTGGTGGTGCCTGTGGCTGGCATGGGTCTGGCAGGGCTGGTGGTGCCTGCGATTGGCGTGGGTCTGGCAGTACCTGTGGCTGGCATGGGTCTGGCAGGGCTGGTGGTGCCTGTGATTGGCGTGGGTCTGGCATTACCTGTGGCTGGCATGGGTCTGGTGGGGCTGGTGGTGCCTGTGATTGGTGAGGGTCTGGCAGTTCTGCCACCAGGCTGCTGACGGACAAGCCTGCCTGTCCCTGGATGTCCCCCACTGGTTGGAGTTTTGCCCAGCGGTGGTATGCCCTGGTCTCTTGTCCCCTACCGCCAGGCAGTGAAGTGTGGCCTGCAGCTTGCTATAAGAGAGGGGCAGAGGTGGTCTGTCCAGAGCTGGAGCGAGGCAGGCAAGCCCAGCGGCTGGAGCTGGGTCTGGGTTCAGTCCTGGGCCTGCTGCGTGTCATCTTGGGGGTACTCTTCAGCTCCCACCTCCCTCCAGGCCTGGTGTGGGAGTAGGGGCTGAGAGATGCTGGTCACAGCACCCTGACGCGAGGGCCCGAGGCAGCCCCTCGACAGTGCCTATCTTGAACGCCACCCTGGTGACCTGAAGCCCCTGTGTTGGTCCCTCACAAGCCTGGGGGTGTGGCCACAGGGCCTGGGCTTTGTTCCATTTACGAGAGGTCAGGCGGTCACGGGGTGATGGGAGGCCTGTGGTTCCTGGGCTGCCATCTGGCGATTGTAAAACCGGCAGTGTGCAGCGTTCGGGGTGCTGGGGAAACAGGCTGCCGACGCAGGAGGCCACGCTTCTGGTGCCTCCCGGGCAGACACCTCATGGCCTTTCCCCGGGTGTCTGAACCGAAGGTGAAAAGTTCAGGCCGTCCCTGCTCTCCAGAGGGACTGGAGGTGGGACTGGAGGTTGACCTGGCTGGCCCCTCCCGCTTCCCTTCCTCTAGATACTGGGGGCGAGGGCAAGGCTATCTGGCTGTGGGACATCCCTGCTGCCCCTTTGCCAGACTCTGCAGAGGGCCAGCCTGGAGGTGGACACAGTCCCATGTACCCCTCTTCTGCCTGAGGGCGCCTGGTCCTATCCCGGGCTACCCCAGGCTGGACCAGGTGCCCCTACCACTAGGCCAGGCAATTTCCCCGGGACAGAGCTGACGGCCCCAAGCGTCTGGCCGTGGGCCTGGGCTGCGGGGATGACTGGGGTGGGCCCTGGAGTGACCACAGGGTCTGCAGGGCTTAGAGGATGTGCGTTCTTGGGCCCACCCCAGAACTCAGGGTTTCCTGATGGGTGTTGGGGTGCACATGAGCCTGGGCTCTTCATGATGGGTGGCCCCAGGGTCCCAGGACAGTCCCTGACAAGTGCAGAGGCCTGGGCACCCCCACCTCCCAGCCAGGCCCTGTTGCATCCTCCCTGATGGCTTCAGAGGTGTTTGTTCCCTGAAGGACACTTGCTGCCCTCCCCTCAGAAGTCTGCTGTGTTGGGGGAGTCGCAGGGGGACGCCCCGCTCCCCAGGCAGTCTCCCCTGCCGGGAGAGGTCCCCCACGGGAGCCTCTTATGGGGCTGCGTGGCACCTGGGCTTGTGTCAGCCCTGGGAGCCCCTTTTATGAAGACTCATTCAGTGTCCCGTCCCTTAGACGGACTCTCAGTGTGGGGATGAAGCGCTCAGATCCCGGCAGGTTGGGCTGCAGCACCAGGCTGCTCGAGGCAGAGGCTTTGTGTCGGCCACCCTGCCCTGGGCTGACCCCAGACGCTCGCCTTTGTGCTGTGCTGCTCTCGCCCCTCGGAAACCTTTGTCCCATTGAGCCCTGCCATCACCTGGGGCCCCTTGCCTGTCGCCGCAGGCCCGCCCCGGGGCGGGGATTGTGGCCCTTGTCCCGGGGGGGGGACTTCTGGTGGCCTAAGGGGACCCTCTGAGTACTCATGCAGGCCTCCCCCAAACCCCATGTCCGGGTCTGTTGCTGAGCGGCCAAGAGGCTCTGACATTTGTGTGATGGCTCCAGAGGTTGACACCCTGGGGAGGGTTGGCTGGCGATGCTTCCAGAAAGTGGTTTTTAAAGGTGCACCTGGTGCTGGCCAGTGGGTGGCCTGTGGGACTGGGAGAGAAGCTCTGAGCCACTGGCTGCTGCTTTCACTGCTCCTGTGGGCAGGTGCAGGGGCACCAAGCGGAGGGGCTCGGGGGCCCCTGCCCGCCCCAGGCCACCTTGCTCTCTCTCCAGGCCCGAGCCCTGCAAAGAGGCTGGTTCAAAAGGTCACTGCCCAGATTTTTATTGCTGTCTCTTACGTTCTCATGACCTCTTGCCCTCTGCAAAGACGGGCGGGGCTGACGCTTCCACGAGGGCTGGCCTTTCCGGGGATTAAGAACCAGCTGAAAGGTCTGAGCCGAGCTCCCAAGGTTAAATGTGTTAGTAGCTTAAAAATGGCGTTAAAAATGAAGTAAAACACACGGAGACTTCCAGGTTTAGCGTGAATAGAATCCAGAGGTGCTGCCTCCTCAAACAAAACAGCGTGGTAGAAAGAGGGGACCAAGCCCTCCCCGGGAGCTCTCTGTCGGAGGTTGGGGAGGCACCCGGCCCAGGGGCCACACGTCCAGCAGCACTGGATGGCCAGTGGTGTCCCTGTGGTCTGGAGGCCTCCTCCCCCCACAGGCTACCCCAGCCCTGTTCCTGCCAAGCCTCAGGGAAGCCCTTTGTGACTTTAGAAAAATCATGATGGAGGGTGAACTGGGTCCTGTTTCTGCCTTGTAATTGAGTGCTCCTTAAATGCGACCACGTCTTGTAATGGTGTCCTTAACGTGGCCTGTTTGATCAGACCCGACTTGCTGTTGAGGCCTTGGTGTTTTCTCAGGAGTGCTTGGAGTCTGGCTCCCGGCTCCCTGGCCGCTGCCTGCATGTGCTGACCCTGGGACCACGAGGCGTTCTCACCGTGAGGAAGGCACTTCTCATATGCACCGAGCCTCACCCCACACACCCCTCATGCCCTTCAGTGGGTGGCCGGCACCTGGCTGCTTCCAGGGAGTGGGGGGGGGGAGGTGGCAGGCACCTCAGGTCTTAAATCAGGGAAACTGCCCCAGCTGTAGTAAAAGTAATCAACTGGCTCCAGAGAGCACCTGAAAACACAGGCCGTGCCCCCTCCTCCAGGGGACATTTGGCAGGCACCACCTGCGTTCAGTGCAGATATCACAGGGCTCTTCCCGAGATGGCCTCCGAGGCCATTTGGCCCTCCATCTCGGGAGCAGACTGAGGGGGTGTCTTTGGCTGGCCAAGACCCACCTGGGGGTGTCCAGGCCGTGGCCATGCTACCTTCTCCAAGTGCTGCGCTTCTCCTGGCCCTCCTCCTCCCGCCTGTGCAGGAAATCCTCGGAAGTGTGTGCAGAAGGACAGCGGCTGTGGGGTCCCTGTCCCAGTCAGAGGGTGACAGTCCTCCCGCAATCCTGGGAGCCACAGGACTGAGCTGGGACTGCTCGGCCTAGTGTGGGGAGAGCGGGACAGGGTGGCTGCCATACCTTGTTCTGTCTGCGATGGAAATGGGAGGACCTGGCCGTGCCTCCGTCAGTGAGCTTGAGCCAGGGATGCCCGTGACCCTGCCTGGAGCAGTCCTCCCCAGCCTTGTGAGCCGGGGCAGAGGTGCTGTGGCCTGAGGTTGGGTGACTGGCCTGGTGGGCAGTAAGAACATCCACAGAGAAGTGACGAGTGTGTGACCGGAGTGTGGACCCGGCTTGGAGGCCTGACAGTGACTGCAGCCCCTCCCGGTGTCACACTGTCCCTTCCTGCCAAGCCTCGGGGAAGCCCTTTGTGACTTTAAAAAAATCATAATGGAGGGTGAACTGGGTCCTGTTTCTGCCTTGTAATTGAGTGCTCCTTAAATGCGACCACGTCTTGTAATGGTGTCCTTAACGTGGCCTGTTTGATCAGACCCGACTCGCTGTTGAGGCCTTGGTGTTTTCTCAGGAGTGCTTGGAGTCTGGCTCCCGGCTCCCTGGCCGCTGCCTGCATGTGCTGACCCTGGGACCACGAGGCGTTCTCATCGTGAGGAAGGCACTTCCCACATGCACCGAGCCTCTCCAAGCACTACTGAGAAAACACCAAGGCCTCCCGGTGTCACACTAAGCATGCTGGTGCAGGGCTTTGAAGCCACTTTGTGGGCAGCCTTTGGGCTGAGGCCGTGGTGGGCCTTGAGAACACGTTGGCCCCCTCGTCTGTTCTGTAGACCATGTGCTTCTGCGGCCCTCGGGCGTGGATGGGCCGTGTGGGCAGACGTGCTCTTGGGTGGTGGCGGCGGCGGGGATGCCTCAGTGCCCGCCGCCCTCTCACTCACTGCCCTGGCTGGAAGATGGTGGCATCTCCCTGATCGGCAGCACCAGGATGGACGCCCTGGTCCCCCAGATGCATGTGTGCAGGTCCTGCAGGCCGTGTCCAGATCCAGACCTGGCCCGGGGTCTGGTGACACCACAGGTGGGCAGGCACTGACACAGGCACCTCCAGGTAAGGGGGATTCAGGAAAGTAGTGCTTTCTAAATGGCTGGTTTTGCCTCGAGGCTGGGCTCCTTTTCCCTTTGAGGAGCTCTGCTCGTGATCTTTGCCCGCTTTTCTGTGGCAGTTTTTTAATTGGTTAAATAAAGACAAACTTTTTGTCAGCCTTTACAGATACTTGATTCCAGCAAGTTCTTGGGCCTTCTAAGTCTTGGCGCTGGTGGCTCACCGTTCCTCCCTTTGCATCTCAGCCAGGTCCCCAGATGCTGGGCTTGCGGGCTGAGTCTACCCATGACAGCTGCACTGTGTGGGGTACAGGTCACCGTGGGTGCTGAGGGCGGTGAGGGACGGCCTTTCACTCGGTCCGCTGGCCCCCTGAGGGCCCATGTCCTAGTTGGGACTGTGCGTGCTCTGCTGTATGGGTGGTCAGTCCTCCCCAGGGACCACCTGGGTGGTGTCCACTCCTGCCCCATGGCGGGACATCTCAGTGACACCTGGCCACATGCATCCCTCCAACAAGTTTCTGGAAGTGGAAATCCAGGTTGGACCCTGTAGTGGGGTGGACGCCGCCACCTGGCCCGTAATAATTGGTTGCTGGGAGTTGAAGAGGCCTCTGGACAGTGTGGCTACAGTGCTGGACCCTAGGAGAATAGCAGCCATGATGGGGGCCAGGCTGTGGGGCTTGGGGTGAGGGAACCCCACTTTCTGGGAGGGAGCAATGAAGGCTGGCTTCTGCTCCTGTCATCTTTGGTCACTTTCTTGGCTGCCATGGGCCTCTCTTGGCTCCTTGCTCTCAGCAGAGGAGACGAGACCCTTATGAGGGTGGGCATGGGCACCCCAATTATTTGGGGCCTTCGCTGTTCCTTGTTCTCTGCTGGTTTTTCCAGGCAGCCCCAGGCCATATGTGTCAGCCTGTCTTGATGGCAGGTGGAGGCGGGGCACCTTTCACCCACCCAAGCTGACGCAGCCTCATGGGGATGGTGCCAGGTGCTTCTCCAGCTGAACAAGCTTGTCCTAGAGCCCCCACCCTAAGAGGACTGTTGCACCCGTGTGAGAAGCTTCTAGAGATGGTGGCTGGCCTTGGGGACCCAGCCAAGATCTGTGCGTGGGGGGTCTGGTCTGATCCTGTCTTGGAAGGAGTGTCAGGTCCCTGAGTGTTCGGAGCAGCGGCGGGGCCTATGGCTCCGCTCAGGTGAGTTCCTTCTTGGTGCTGCTGGTGGCTCCTATGTTTCTTGTTGCCAGAGGGCTTGGGGTTGTCACTGGAGGAGGAGGTTTCCTGCTTGCTTCTTGGTGAGGGAGCAGTGGGGCTGGCCTGGCCTCCAGCGCTCTTTAGGTGTTCTGAGGTGATCTGGGTGGCCTGGCCTGTGCGGACAGCTCTGCCCTTTGTCTGAGACCCTGAGCCCTGGGGCCTGGGGGCAGGATGGAGGGATGTGGGAGAGTTTGGTTTTTCCATAAACCTTTGTCTTTAAATGCCCCTTGGACCTAGCCCCTGGCTCTGGGAGGGAGGGTCCTTGGCAGGCCCCGTCGTGTACCTTGGGTCCTGGCCGTGTCCTCTGGCCACCCTCCCTGCCCGGCAGGACTTCTTACAGACCCATGCTCCTGAAGGGGAATCGGGCTGGTCCTGGGGAGGCAGCCTTTCAGAGCCGCGGAGAACTGAGCGCTCTCCTTGTGCTCTTTCAAGCCGGTCTTTTCTTTTGGTTCACAGGGGGCCGTTGCTCCAATAGGGAGAAGACATCGGGAACTGACATTTCTTGTGGTTTAGCCCAGGGCCTGTGGATGCTGCTATTCACACAGCCAAACTTAGCAGAAAGAGGTGGTCCTGGCTCCCTTCCAGGCCC